CCCTACCAACCCCCACCCCCCCAAAAAAATTAAGTTTGTTTTTAAAAGATATTTTTAATTTCAAAAATTATTTTCTATCAAACACTATATATATTTTCTACTCACCAATCAAACATGAGAAAATAAGTCAAAAATCTACTTATTTTCGAGGAAAATATTTTTCATGGAAAACATTTTCCTTCATACCAAACACACCCTAAATGCAAAGATTATTACTCGAGTGTTATAGTTATTGTACGAGGCTTTTATTCCTCTTGGAAAGAACCCCTTCCATTATTATTCTGTGCATTACTTCTCAATGATATAGTGGATGTAGGCCACATGTACAAAATGAATATTAGAGACTAGGATCATATTTTTTGGTTATTCTTTAAAATATAATATTCTTACTCTAAATAATATTAAATCCAAATTACTTATATGTTTTAATTCTCCTTCAATTTTATTTATATTTTAGTTAACTTTTTAATATTATTTTAAAAAGTAAACATAAGAAAAAATTATGAATTTTTGGATTCTTGACATTAATTCACACAATAACACAAGATTAAATGTACTTTTATGGAGAAAAGAAGAAGAAACATATATATACAATGTTGAAGCAAATTATCTTGAAGGAATATTACAAAATGATCCAAGCCTCTATGGTTAAAAACAATTTATCTTAGAATTCCATGATGTTATTTAGTGTAATAGTAAATAAATAAAAGGATCGTTGTAGAACTAACAAGAAAAATGATCGTAGCCTTAAATATTTATTTTGTGCACGTAGTCTACATTCACTACACCATTGAGAAGTAATGAACAAAATAGTAATGGAGACGATCCTTTCATGTGAACATCCCCTCCATGCCTTGTGATATCAATATAGGTGGCGTTATGACTTTTACCACCATATTATAAAAAGGAGAATATGAGATGGTTAAATACATAGAAGTTAATTAAGAAAATTAACGTATGTAGTTAATTACTTAGGATGAATTAATTAGAACTTAATTACTCTTTTTATTTTGTGTTTGTCAAATATAAGTTACTACTTGACTCTTGGGATTTATTCAAACTTGTTGGTGAATTAAATGTAGGACTTGAATCTCATGTCCCTTGCAAAAGAGCTTTTTACAAAACAGAAAAAGATAATTTCTCTCAATTGAGATGGTAATAATATATATTCCAACGCTTAATATTCTTCTTGATTTTTCTTTTTTTATTGATGTTAATTTCACTTAATTATTTTTCAGGATCTTTTACTTATGATAGTAATTTCTTGTGCATATGGAGTAATTTTGTGTTGCCTCCTACTTTTTTCCGGTGTAGTACCCTTCTTTCTTTATTTTCCTTTTAACCATTTTGGTATTATTAGTTATTTAAAGGAAATTAATAATTAAAAATAATTTATACAACTCCTTTTTATGTCCCTAGCCCCTTTTCAATCTTCACATTCATATTTAATTGTTAGTTACGGATTGATTGTTGAAGATGAAGGAAGCTGATGATAGGAATTGGTCCAACTGACCGACAGCTGACGTGTTATTGTGTTTCTTACTAATTTTATTGTTGTTTCCTTTAGGACATGGAGTAGACGGAGTGGCTTATAATTACAAAGCTAGTATTGAAGTAACAACTTATACTTACTTCTATTTTTGTTAATTTTTAAATGTAACATATATATTAAAGGTACTAACCTTATTAAATATATTATTTTTTTCATGATATTATCAGTGTTTGGCTGAACCTCAACATGTTCAATATAAAGGAGGAAAGTTGATAAACCCAAAATTTGACCTAGGATTGCATGGATGGGAAGGTATGGGAGGTGCCAAAATTGAAATTAGAAAATCTTTCTCAAGAAACAACTTTATGGTTGCCTATAATAGGAATGAGTATAATGCAACTTTTTCTCAAAAAATTTTCATGGAAAAAGGGTATTATTATACATTTTCAGGTATTTATTCATTAATCTACAATTTACATATACGTTATTTGGTTGGTTGGTTATTGTGAATTTTTTTTACGATTGTTTTTCTCCGATAGCTTGGGTTAGAGTTAGTGAAGGAAGTGAGACAACAGTGTCTGCTGCAATAATAACTAAAGAAAATTCAAAGAGAGTTATTGCCTCTGGAAATGCTTATCCTGGTTGTTGGACCATGCTTAAAGGAGGCTTTCAACCAGAATTTCCTCTTCCAACAGAGTTGTATTTTGTAGTAAGTCCATAATTACATTTATATTGTTTTTAAGTGTTTCATTTTTATCATTAAAATATCTATTTGCTAGAAGTTAATTTCACTTGTTCTTTTTAAAGTCTTAACTTTTATACATTATATTGAGGATTAAAAAAAAATATACCATCAAGTGACTAACATAAGTAATTTCTCTATATGAAACATGATTTAATTAGTAATGATTTCTTTAATTTCACTTGTTCTTTTTAAAGTCTTAACTTTTATACATTATATTGAGGATTAAAAAAAAAATATACCATCAAATGACTAACATAAGTAATTTCTCTATATGAAACATGAATTAATTAGTAATGGTTTCTTTAATTTCAAGAGCTTTAACCTAGTTCCTAAAATATACAACTAAACTCAGAGGTGGACCCACATAGATAGGTGGTTAACTTCAAAAAAAATCATTTATATATATGTATATCTCTCTTGAGAAACTAACAAAAACTATATAAGTTACGATTCACCCATTGAAAGTTTAGAATGATACTTTGTCCCACCCGGTGGCGGACGGCTTGAACACACAATCAAATTTTTGCAACCCCATAACCACTATACTAAACTTTCCACTTGTGTCAAGAGGTGTAAATATATATATATATATATATATATAATTTATTTTTATTTTTTTTAAAACCAAAATTTAACCTCATGTAATTTTCCGGTGTAGCCTACACTGCTTAACCCACATACTTGTTTTTGCAATTTTTGTAACATGGAGTACACTATAAACAAATTAGGGATCATAATGAATGTTTCACCTCTGCATATAATTATTATTGACATGTAATATTTTTTTTGTTATTAATTATCGTCCAGTGTTACAATAAGACAGTTGACTTTTGGGTGGATAATGTTTCCTTAAAAGAGTTCAACAAAACCGAATGGCTTCAACACCAACAGAGAGCCATAACAAGGGTAAGTTATATAATACTCTCTTCTTACTCCGTCCATCCACTTTTAATTATCACTATCACGTTACATTTTTCAAAAGTCAATTTTACTAATTTTTAATTTAATATTTTAAATAAAAAATTCATATATTCAAAAACTATACGAAAAGTATTATAGATTGCAATTTTTATGTCATACATCGTAAAATGTTAGTCAAAGTTTTCATTGTTTAACTCTAAAAAAGGAAGCCAGAACAATTAAAAGTGGACGGAGGGAGTATTTTATTACCATTAGCTACTTATCTATTTACATCTAACTTCTTTCTATTTGAACCTTCAATTTTCGATTTCATTTTAGGTAAGAAAGAGGAAAATAGTGCTAGATATAAAGGACAAATTAGGAAAAGCAATCCGTGGAGTGAAAGTAAATATTAAGTTCACAAAACCATATTTCCATATTGGTTGTGGTGTTACTGATACACTATTACAACACAAGAAATACCAAGAATGGTTTCTTAAAAAAGGTTTTACTGCAAGTGTATTCACAAATCAAATGAAATGGTACTGGACAGAAAGTCGAAGAGGAATCGAAAACTACACAATACCAGATGCCATGTTCCAATTCTTCAAGAAAAATAAGATAGAAATAAGAGGACATACTGTTCTATGGGACAAACCAAAAATGAATCAATATTGGCTACATGATATGACACCTAAAGAGCTTTTGGCTACAGCAGTGAGACGTCTCGCGTCTATCATGGCGCGTTACTCAAATGATATTTTTGAGTGGGATGTTGTGAATGAGAACTTACACTTCAAGTTTTTTGAAGAAAAGATTGGACCACAGGCTTCTGGCATGTTTTATCACATAGCTCATGTTATAGATCCGAATGCAACGTTATATTTGAATGAGTTTAATACCCTTGAAATTCCGGGAGATGTATATGCAGGTCCACATAAGTATATAAATAAATGGAGACAGATCAGATCGTATCCAGGAAATGAGGATTTGACGATAGGATTTGGACTGCAAGCTCATTTTGGTTTGGGAAAACCATTGATGCCGTACATACGAGCTGCCCTTGATTTTTTCAGTGAAACTCAAATGCCCATTTGGTTAACTGAAATGGATGTTCCTAACAATTCAAATCAGGTATGTATATATTCTCTCTTGTTTCCTCCCATGAATGTAAATATTATACATCACGCGTATCCAGGATTTTGACATAATGGGTGCACTATTACAAAATAAATTTGATCGATTTGACATTTTAAGTTTTTATCATTGAAAGTCGTATAAATTATAAAATTATAGGTCCAAAATTAATTCTTATCTATTCAAATAGTATATATATTTCGCGCCGGAGGCATTGAGATCGACTGACCCATTGATTATATCATCCCGTATTACTAGTTTTAATATGCACATTTGGTTTAATTATATTAAAAATTACCATGTTAAAAAAATTAGGAATTTCCAATGTGACAAACTTTGAAATTTTGAAAGATTAAAGCTATATATACTATATCTACCAATAACCACTTAAAGAGATGTTACATAATTTTAGAAAGAAAAAATACAACAAGATAGATGTAAGATTCAAATTTCCAACCTCAGAGAGATGCAACCGATCATCATTGCATTATTTGATACGTCTAGTGAAGGTTCACACATCTCAGGAGGGGAGCATGGATTCACATGAACCCGGTGACCCCTTCTGCATGCGGCTCTGCAATTAATTAATATATATACTCTACTTAACAGGCACTTTACTTGGAAGAAATCATGAGAGAAGCATTTTCACATCCAGGAGTGGAAGGAATAATAGTGTGGGCACCATGGAAGCCAGGAATGAATTGCACTAGTTTGTGCTTGATGGATGACAATTTCAACAACACACCAGCAGGAGACATTGTAGACAAGCTCATGGCAGAGTGGAGAACTCCTGACCAAAATGGAAAAACAAATTCTGAAGGACTTTATAGATATGATGGTTTTCTTGGAGACTACAATGTGGTACTTTATGATCCTCACTCTCTCAACAAAGTTACTAGGCAAATTAAAATTACAAATAAGGATCCAAACCGAATAGTGATTCCTATTTCCATATGACTAACTTGTATGTCACATTTACATACATAACATCAATAATTAAATGTTTATTATCCATCAATTATTTGGATATTCTAATTTAACTTCTCTTATATCTAGTAAAAAAACATGCACTAATTTTTAATTAATATTCAATGTATTTCATTAGTATGAAAACAAAGTTTAATATTATTGGAAATATTAATATTAGTTTGTAATCCATTAGCTTGTTTTCTCCTTAACCCTAACCCTTCGTGTAATACACCATTATGAGTGTAGAATAAAATAAGTTTTTTTCACCGCAATAGACAACTAGATTTAGGTATCCAAAAGAGAAAAATGGTATGCATCTTCCGAGGATATTTAGGCTATGGACAAAGAAAATTCATTCATTTTTTGAGGTTTCCGATGACCAGTGACATGAGCCATGGTTACTTCTTAATCGCTTTCTTAATAATAAGTCTCCTAAACTAGTATTTTTAATTCAAATAGTACATTAGTAGTAGAGGCATAGGCTCGTATTCCGATGATTGACATGAGTAGTATATATGCAAAATGTATTTTTAGGGTATAAATTAAAACCATAACTTACTTGCATTAGTTCATATTTATGACTGTCTAATTTTTACATAAAACGTTAGGGCATTTATAGATCTCGTTGAGAGATTTTCGACGATATGTAGATCATAATTTTTGGCCTTAATACTTTGTGAGATATTGATTTTTTTTTTTATAAAACTAAGGTAAGTATGTCATGTTTATTACCGACTCCTTTCCTCCATTGCTTCAGAATAATTATGATACTTCCTAAGTTATTCTATGCCTTATATACTTGGAAAATTATTTCATATTGATGCCACATTTTCTGGGGGGCACTACCTTCAGACTTGCAAGTCTTGACACACAACTCAACAAGCTTTCTCAATAGTACATGTGTTCTTGAGTTCCAACTACTCTATAAGATCTACTTCTTTCAGAGTTTCCAAGTTCAGAGTTGTGGCATTCTTTTGTTGTATATAGTTGATGGGTAGGTCGGATTCTTGTCCATGCCAAGTTTCTATACTCTTAGAGGCATGCAAACTTGAGTTGGGTAGTAATACATTGTTGGTCGTGTTGACTCTATTATGTCAATATTATCAACATGTTAGCGTTGTTTGGCCTTGTATATGATTATAATTTGTTTTTTGGATTTTTACAGAAAGCATAGTGGTCTTGTTGTCCCGCATAACATTAGACTTGCTTTTTTATAAACTATTGGGTTAGCTGAATTTTTGGCTACTACATGGCCCTCTGATTATGGCCTTGCCATCCTTGACTCTAGTTAGTTAAAGTTTGTCTGTTACGCTAGTTCAGGATGCCTAATATACACCGATAGTGTATACGCCATATGAGTCAACTCAGGGTTTTAATATAATAACCAACCAGGTCATTTTTGTGTTATGCCTTATGTTCATTGTTTAGAATGTTCCTATAGGGACTCCAAGTCATTTATGACTTTCTGGGAGTGACAGTTCAGTCACCAGGTCATTAGTTTGGTTTTTATGCGAGTTTTCATGTTTTGGAACTTTTGAACTTTAAACAGTCATTTTGATCAAAAGTTTAAGAACATGACCTCAGAATCCAATTTTGATGATTTCATCAGCTTTAGAAGATTAATTTTAGGCTAGTAACATGATCGACATGACTCCTGAGGCTTTTTATGTGAGTCTCTGTGATTAAGCATTTTAACTTTCAAGTTAAGGACTAAATTTGACTTTAGTCAACATTCTGAGTGAACGAGCTCAATGATTATTCCGTCAGCACAGTTAGCTCCAAAATATTGAGTTTGGTCTAGAACGACCATTCGTTCGGATCCCGAGGCTTTCGGGCTAATTTCGAGCCCCCTTTGTATTTTTACTTAAAATAGAGTTTGGGGATGAGACCCACTTTTTGTTGAAATGACCTTGTATGGGAATTTTGACTACTATGTTAACTCTAAAATATCAAATTTGGTAGGGTTGCATATCTCGTTTGTGTGCACGGGGTTCTGAACGAATTCAAAACATCCTGTCGGAGATTTACAACTTGCCAAAAAACCTGTTTGATATGCATCAACTAGTGCACGAAAAAATGCCCTTCATGTTCGCAGACCCTAGACCACGTTCGCGGAGGCCAAGCAGCCTGGTGGCCACGTTTGCGAGGTCCTGGCCGCGTTCAAAGGGCTCACATTCGCGGGGTCCCTACCGCGTTTGCGGGCCATGATTCCTCTTGGCCACGTTTGTGAGGCCCACATTCGTGGGGTGCCTCCGTGTTCACGAAGAGGAGATTATGGGTGATTCAAAGTCCCACACATTCGGAGTTTTTGGTTTCTTGCTCATTTTATCTCGGATTGGGTGATTTAAAGTCCCACGCATTCGGCAATTTTGAGGCTACGTTGTGGAGTTGTTTGGCTTTCTTTGTTTGAGGTGAATTTTTGTTAGAAGTTGTTGTCCTAGTCCTTATATGAGCTTAAAATTGTTGCTTGTTTCATGTTATTGATTATGGCTGTTTCGATCCCCAAACTGTATCCCTTTTTAGAACATAAGTTCGGGGCATTGGTTGGGACATCTTGACAGAGTCAATTCTGGAAATTCTGGTGTGGGTCCCACAATTTATGTTTGACTCTAAAATTGGTCAGTTTCTATTTTATGTGTTTGTTGTGTCTAAATGATGATGAGTGGTAGATTTACACTCATTTGAGGCATTTTTAGTTCAACAATTAGTGTCCTCAATGCCTAATTATGTCCTATTCTGATGATATTTTGATGGTTTGCAACTATGAAGGCTAAAGGACAAGGGGGCGATGAATACTAGAAAGAAAGGCCAAAAACATTGAAAGAAGTGTAAGCTCCACACTGGAGTTGTCTAACCTAAAGGGCGGATCGCCCAAATGGCATGACCTCACCCAAAGTGACAGTATTCACAATTGAAGATAATTGAGGCAGGTCGGCGAACCAAGAGTGAAATGGTGATTCACCGAAATTGAAAGGCAAAATAGATGATCATCGCTGAAGGTGACATGACTCGGATGAAAAATGAGGGCTTAAAAGGCAAACAAAGGTGGTAATCAGTGATCCACTAAATGTGAAAGGCGAACTCAAACGAGTTCACCGATAGAGGTTCAAACACCTGAAGCCTGAAGCAAATGAAAAATGAGCTGAGGAAAAGACGATGATTCACCAATCCTGTTTGGCAATCCCGACTAATGTCGTCGAGTTGGTCACACAGTAAAATTCAGGCCAAATTTTGGGAAACTATAAATAGCCCAAAAGGGAGAGAAAATAGAGTGCATTTGGAGAGCTTTATGTTTTTGGAAAGAGTTGGAATATAGTACTTTTGAGAGCTTTGTGTATGAGATATTTCACCTTGTGAAAAAACGTCTTTAGTTTGAGGTTTTCAATTTTACTTTTGCAATTGACAATTGGAAGTTAAAACCAACGTGGGTGTTGATTATAATTCCTTAATTCACCACATCCATGGTTGCTATCATGATATGTCTATTTTCTTTACTTTTTGTGATAGGTGGCTAAACCCCAAGTCTAGGGGTGCAATTATGAGGTTGGGTGTTAATTTAACGTAATGGGTATTGTGTTTTACTATATTTTATTGTTGTTCATTCATATATTTAGGCTAATTAGCATGAGGTTAATTTATGGGTTAAGGTTGCAAATTTAATCTTATTTTTTATCTCCGATTGATGCTCGAAAGATATCGATTGGAGTGGGTAATTAGTTTGATGCATGCAATTTAGGTGTGATTTATATAGTTTGCTTGAAAGAGAGAATATGGTTCAGATCTATTTTTCCCAAATCTGCTCGGAAGAGAGATATTATAAGGTATTGGGTTGTTTTATTTTTCACATAAATGAGACCGAAAGGAGATTCTATGAATTGATGCTAAAGAAGATTAGTGTCATTGAACAAGACCCAGCCTATCCATGATTGTTTAGCACTATTGAGCAACACAATTACCCCTATGTGACATCGATTCCAATCCCCGCACCCCTAGTTTACTTGTTAATTGTTTGAATTTTTAAATTTTAGTTAAATAGTGGCATTTCATATATAAACTCTTTTAGTAAATTTGATGGAATCATCCGTCCGTTTATCTTAACCTACTACAATAAACAAGTTCACAGTCTTAATTTCCTAAGTTTAATTCTTATCATTATAGCATTCCTTGTGGGGTTCTACCCCTGACTGTTAGTTGAGTATTTTTATTGACAACAACCTCTTATTCTTCGAATTTATTTTTGAGAATAGTTTGAGTGTTAACAAAAATGGCGCCGCTGTCGGAAAATTGTGGCTAGGAATTCAAGTAGCGAAATTAGTTTGTAAGCTTATTGAATTGTAGTAGATTGCTACTTGGCATTGTAGTGTTGTTGACTTGGAGGTCTAAATATAAGTGATAATGATAGTGACTACGATAGTTACTACGGACAAAATGACAATATGGGTGACACAAATGACATGCACATGAATGTCATTTCAATCAAGGGAGCTATCAGGTTACCGCCCATAATAAGGAGGGTGATGTTCCATGTAACTGGAACAATGCTACAACTGCTCCAAATGAAAGGAATGTTCAAAGGATTGGCTCATGAGGACCCTCATGAACACCTTCAATTTTTTTTGTATATATGTGGGTCGTTTGTCTTCAAGAACATCTCACAAGAGTCGATTCGGTTGAGATTATTCCCTTTCTCTTTGACAGGGGAAGCCACAAGATGTTTGGCTGAGTTACTGAATGATTCTATCACTTCTTGGGAGGAGTTGACCAATGCTTTCTTAGAGAGATTCTTTCCTCCCTCGAAAATGGTCAAGCTTAGGGACAACATCCAGAACTTTAAAAGAGTGAGAGGTGAACCTCTTCATGAGACAAGTTGCGGTTATGGAAATTGCTTTTACAATATCCAACACATAGTGTTTTGGACAATTTGTTGCTGCATTACTTTTATTGTAGCCTTGATTCAGTCAACAAAGGATTGGATAATCAACTTATCCAAAGTGGGCTGATGCGACTACAGTTTGATGTGCCAATATTGTAGCTAACTGATATACCAAAAGTGAACTGAGTATGGCATACTAGAGAGGATGAAGTATCTTCTCAACAATAGGGAACACGCAAGGCACAAATGGAGAAGTATCATGAACGTGATAAATACATTGCTAAAATGATGACTTAACTCGACTTGCTATCCAAACATGTCGTGGTAGGTGGAGTGAAATCGGTAAATGCAATTGGAACAATTAGTGGGCAGTTCCTAAAGGATTCCAAGTTTGAGGCATTGCACAATGAAGAAGTAAACTACATGGAAAATCAATTGGAGGGTGCTTATCCTAACTACCCAAGACCGGGTGGGAATCAAGGTTGGAAAGAGGATCAAGATAATAGTTGGAGAGAGAGAGATTGGAGAGATCGATGTGGCAATTGGAGAGATAAGAAAGCTGAAAAAGATAGGTATGTCCCGCCTCATGATCACCCAAAACCAAGAGAACCACCTAGACCGGAAGGAAATCGAATCGAGGAACTGTTAACAAGGATCTTTGACAAGGTTGAAGGGTCCAACAAGGTGTTGAAAGGACTTGAAAAATGACTGTTTACATCCCTACGTTATTCAAATAGGGGGAAACGTCGCGGTGACTCAAAAAATAATCAATTGAATCAATTTTAAAGGAATTTTAAGAATAAACGAATTTTAAAGGAGTCGCCACCTAATTTTAGGAAAAATAGGAAACCATTTAAGTGATCTACGAAACCATTAGATTCTAGGTAAGAGGTTCAAGTTATTCCGAAGGGAAGGTGTTATGCATCCTTCGAAATCCACAAATGTGGGTCCCGACTAAATTCATTTTTTCAAATTGAGGAGGAGATAAAAAACAATATACAAATATAATAAACATGCAATATATACAAGTAATAAAATAAAACTCGGCCTAAAGTTTACCTAACATCGATATACACAAAATAATGAATTGAAAAATATAATTCGAACTCCTTTCGAATAGCTTCAATGGGAAGCAACTCCGGGGTAGCTGTAAACACACTTAGTAAAAGTGTTAGTAATAAATAAATATGAATAAAATTGAATAACTCAAATAACAACTTAAAAATAAAAACCTGTCTTATTAACATGAGAGGCCTTGGAAATCGATGGTAATTTCTTCATCGGCCAATAATAAACAAAGTATATGACCTTAACTAAATTTCTGTCTTTTAAAATGGGGAGGCCTCATAAACCGACAGAGAGAATTTTTCATTGGCCATTTTAACTTATTTAGCATTAACAAACATTAAAACTTTTAACATCTACAAAATAAGATGCCGAAGCAACAAACCCCAACATGAAAATTAAAATAATAAAGAAAAGAAAAAAAAATATCCCAAATACAAATAACAATTAGCAGCCAAAGGAGTAATTAAGAATTGCGCAAATTTGATGTATAGCAGCCCACAAAGTTATCATTAGCAACAATTAGAGTTGGATAACAAAATTAACATCCAAAATTGAAATTACGGAGTAAAGTTTCAAAAAAAATCAACAGAAAATAATATAAGGAATAAAAATAACAATTTGAAATAGCAATGAGGACAAAATGAACAGTTAACCACACTTCGAATTTATTCTAATCGAAACAAGAAAATAAAAAACCATTTTATTGAATCTAATAAACAATAGAAAAATAGAGATAAAATATTATACTCTACCACATTAATCAACCTCAATCCATATTAATTAATAACTTTACCACTACATTTATATCAAATTAGAAAAATGACTTCTCCACCTTGACTCAAATGGTTACTTCTCACTTAGTATCAATCAAGCAACTAGAAACTCAAATGTGCTAGATCTCCGCCTATCAAAATCCAAGGCAAAAAGGATTGTTGCCTAGTGACATTATCCCATATCCCAAGAATGAGTGTTGATGAAATGAAAAATGTGTCATTCTAAAATTTAAATAAGACACTACTTGG